CAGGCATATATTTTTAATTAGTTATATTTCACAAACTTATTAGGAATTATTTTTTTAAATGTAACGTGATTTTGAATCTCAAATAATAATATGTAATAATATAATTATTTAAGAATAAAATTTGGCATCTCTTGTTATAAAAAGGAAGTTTTTAAACTAATATCTGTGACAGAAAAACCGGTTTGTTTTTAATTATATAAATAAATATTAAACCATCTCTATAATTTCTCTCAAATACAATTAAAATTTAGTTGCAATATTAGTTATAAAAATAGGTTACGCTTTTGTTAAATAAAAAATTGATTGCGCAAAATTATAAATATCATAATTTTCGACTTCTATTTGAATAATAAAAATAGTTTCGACTAAATTTCGATTAACTCAATTGGTGATTAATTTTTATAACCGAACTTTTTTTATTTATTCTCTAATCTAATTTTTTCTCTTTCTTCCATGTACCAAGAAGAAAAAGTAATAATTCAATTTTTGTTAAATATTGCATCGATTAAATAATTAATTGAGACTTAGTTGGCTTGAAGCTCAAAATTGTTAAAAGTCCGAATAGATTTCCCTTGATGTAAATTACATATGTCAGGAATGCAATTGCATGATATTGCATCGCGATGCGCGATGATTTACGTCAGTTTTATCGAACCACCGATCCGATAATCTCACGCATGCAAGGTCAGAATCATTTTCAGGGACGCCGGGATGTCGAGGAACTCGAGACACACCCCTTTAACCTTGCCTGACCTATAAGATTCGCCGGTGCCCAATCATACATCGTGCTGTCGAGGCTTATGCCAAGCCTGTTCTCATCTCAACTATATTTTCAAAGATACATTCAAGACTAAATTATGTTTACGTAAATTATGTTTACGTAAAATTATATAAGCATCTGTGAATCTCTGTGATAAATTCGTTACATTTATAACTCCGACAATTCCGTTGCATTACATTTATAACTCCATTGTATTTTTAGCAATAAATAATACACGGGAAAGATTTTTTTAATTTGTCCATTGGTGACAAATCCAATCTTATATAGAATACTGATAATGCGAAACACTTTTCTCTAGCATGATGTTCGAATAAAACAAAATAAACTAATAGATACAATAAATAAAGCATTGATAGTTTTCAGTTGCGTCTATGCGATCAATATCAACTTTCACGAATGCGATATTTATAAGTATCCTTGAATCGTGATTGATGTTCTGAAAATGGCGGAGAAGCAAATAATGGATCACCATACGTCACACATCTATTTCTAACCTAACGTCCAATAATTTATTATAATAATTCTTAATGATGAGACTGATTCTCTCGCATATATTTCACACGACTCCGCCGATTTCGTTGATTGCAATAACGCGGAGAGCGCATAGTCGTTGCATAGCGTCTTGTAACGTTCTTGCCCAATTTTCCAGTTGCAATCAAGACGACAACATGAGCAAAATCGGAATTAACGGATTTGGTCGTATCGGCCGTCTCGTGCTGAGGGCTTCCCTGGACCGCCCTGGTGGTCAGGTATGAAAGGAAGACAGTTGCACAAAATTAGCCAGGTCATATTTGTTTTACTAATTTGAGATCTCTGTCAATCAGGTCGTCGCTATCAATGACCCCTTCATCGGTCTCGATTACATGGTCTACATGTTCAAGTATGATTCCACCCACGGCAGGTTCAAGGGAGAAGTCAAAGCCGAAGACAACTATCTGGTTGTAAACGGAAACAAGATCGCTGTCTTCAACGAGCGCGAAGCGAAGGCAATCCCATGGGCGAAGGCTGACGCTGAGTACATCGTCGAATCGACTGGCGTGTTCACGACCATCGAGAAAGCATCCGTACGTGAAACAAAATTCATACTTCCAGAATAGAATTCTCTAATACATCTTAATGTTTTTTTTTTTTTTTATGCATTTACAGGCTCACTTGGGAGGCGGCGCCAAAAAGGTCATCATCACCGCCCCATCAGCTGATGCGCCGATGTTCGTCGTCGGTGTGAACTTGGAAGCTTACGATCCAAGCTTCAATATTATCTCCAACGCTTCGTGCACTACAAACTGCTTAGCACCTCTCGCCAAGGTGGTCCACGACAACTTTGAGATCGTCGAGGGCCTCATGACGACTGTACATGCGATTACAGCCACTCAGAAAACCGTTGACGCACCTTCAAGCAAGGTGTATATCATGCATTAACAAGAAAGATCATTCGAGATTATTATTATATAACACATTTATTATGCTTTTTCAATAACAGCTATGGCGTGACGGCCGTGGTGCAGCACAAAATATTATTCCCGCTTCAACTGGAGCTGCCAAGGCAGTTGGCAAGGTCATTCCCTCTCTCAAAGGGAAGCTTACTGGCATGGCCTTCCGTGTACCCGTGCACAATGTGTCCGTGGTTGACTTGACGGTCCGACTCGGCAAGTCCGCCTCCTATGATGTTATCAAAGCCAAAATGAAGGAAGTTGCTGAAGGTTCTATGAAGGGTATTATGGGCTACACTGAGGACGACATTGTCTCTTCCGATTTCATTGGTGACAGCCACTCCGCTATCTTCGATGCCAAGGCTGGCATTTCTCTAAACGATAACTTCGTGAAGCTGATCGCGTGGTATGACAACGAGTACGGTTATTCTTGCCGAGTTATCGACTTGATCAAGTTCATGCAAAGCAAGGAAAACTAAATAATATTCAGAAGTTGATTGTTCATCTGCATCTTCCTAACTCCGGCCTCGCCGTACGAAGTTACTGTGTGGAGCATATCATTGTAAAAAAAGCTGATGTAAGAAACACTGTATTAATTGGCGTCATTATTAACTTCTAGCAGGAATCTATCCAAAATATAAAGGATGTTAGAACGTACGTTCTTTCTCGCACAATTAATAGAATTTTAGCTTAATATCTATTCGTCGGTGATTGAAATATGACAAATAAGACTCTATGTATAGTGTCAGGCTCTATATATAGTGTTTATATCTAATCTACGTATTTATCTCGTTATTATTATAATCAATTTGCCAATAAATATTCTAACTTGAATGTTATATAATAGAGCCTGCAGTAACAAAATAAACGTTAAATCAGAAGTATGTATGATAATAGGATGATATTTTGATTCTGTTCTGATTAAATTTATTATCGCGATTTTATTCATCGAATTTAATCATAGTAGTACATCACCACGAAAGTTTTACTGTATTTGTAGAATTGCAGTTGCAATACTCAATTTGCATCATTCATTCGTTCATATTCAAGAAATGTGTTACAAGTATTTCTAATTTTTTTCTTCTGCATAATATTTTTCCATTCACACAATGACATCAATAAAAATTGTTATGAAACTAAAGTAGTTTTTTATTCATACTTGACAGACACTTCTGTATATGTATCTACATTATAGTATCATTACATTTCTTTTTTATAGGATTGCAGACAATAAATTAGAGACAATTCTGATATAAGTATTAATTTTTTATAATTTTTACACAATATCTATTATATAGTTACAAAAAAATCTTTGTTGCATGACTCGTTGATTTTTCAAGCTTTATTTCTAAGTCTCGTAATATTTGACAAGACGATTATTGATTACAATATATATATATTTCAAAATTTCATTATATGGCACAAAGAGTTATTTATAGTAACGACGGTCGCTTGGCAAATTTATTTATCCGCTATTTATAAGAAAATAAAGTGAAAATTTGGAAAATGTAATGAAGATCTTAACGTTAATCAGGAATGAATATATATTTAATTGGATAAAAATAGCGATTTATAAATAATGCGCTGAGATTTATATAGAGCTGAGCCGCGGAGATTGAATTTTAATCGAGAATTTAATTTTTTTTAAGACCAAAATTTTAAAGAGCAAGGAATTAGAAAATTTTATTTAAATAATAGTAATTTTTTCTATAAAGCAATTCTATATCTATTGAGTAATCGCTGCTATTATTAGATGTTATGAATGACAATTATTATATTAATTCGATTTTTATCGAATAATTTTTGCGGACGTGATTTTGATAGATCTATATTCTTCTCAGATCTTAATTTGCATCAACTTACAGCAATAATAGGAATTGCTATAATCATTTCAAAGAATTGCTACACCAAAATCGATTCAACGTAAATTGATTATGAGCATCATATATCTATATAAATTTATTTTTGAAGTATTCTGTTCCTGCAGATTCCACTTTTTTCTATATATCTTCAACGTTTAACAGGCATTTTATAGGTACTTGTTATCATGGAATAAAATATAACTTCGTAACAATCCTGATTATTCCATTTTTCAGTCAATGTCATTTTTTCGTAAAAATTTTATATAATACGAAAATTCAATTCGAAATACAATTCGATTTTGTTACAAACAATAAATATAACTTATTCGTTTTTACAAATACAATTCAAAATACATATTATAGTTTCATTTACGATGAATAAAGCTCTTTAGAAGAAATTCATCAGTTTACAGAAGAATATGAAATATATAATCCTATAAAATTAACAAAGTTAACAAGTTTTTGCGCATAGAAATCACAATCAGAAATTTCAAATATCTATACTCAGATAGAACGATATGATAGATGCATTTGTATGCGCGGTATGCTGGAAATATATATAAATTCATAGCGATAAAAAAGGAAATTCCAATGCAAAATATAGTATACAAGTCAGTAAATCACAGGGAGGAATTCGCTTTAAATTAGAGTGAACATTTTAACACTTTTTTACATATAAATGTGAACAATAGCTAGAAAAACTTGACGAAAGCAATTTGTTATATATCAATTTAGAGATCGTAATCTTAGTTTTGTATATACATGATCCATAATTTATGCATAGTCATTCTTTCAATCTCAAATATAAAATATCTATGCAATATTTCTTTTTGTAAATCGCGTCTCCTGCCGTATCTGTCTGTCTATATTGATCGTTATGAATGTGAATGAATATTTCATTGGGAAAAGAAGAATTCTAGACTAGCATAACGTATTAAATATATGTGTTTACAATGATTTGAAGAGATATAATATCTCGTAACTTCGAGCAAATAAATGACAGCGAACAATAATCACATCAAGTCAAGAGTAAAAGTTTTGCACGCAGATTTATACGTTCTTGGAGTGCGCTAGCCAATTCACGTGTCAATTCTTCGCAAACTAAGCGTAGTTCCGCATTCTTTTCCCTTAATTCTTGTAAGGTTAACCTCTTTTCATCCTCTTCATTCTTATTCTCTTCTTCGCCACCATCTCGTTCTGTTAGGATTATATTTTAATTATTAAGCATATAATAATTTCGGAAAATAAAGATGCGATTGAAAAAATAGCTTGAAGCATCTATTTTAGAAGTATCTTTAATACTTAAAAAAAATCATATATTTAAACTTATAAATAATGAGATAATTTCTTACTTGGACTTGGTTTTCTATAAATATGAAATGCTCCACAAACTCCAGTGAATTGTTGAGATTGTGGTATCGTGTTTTCTATAGATAACGTATTTTCAGGCAGTTCACTCTTAGGAGAAAAATGAGAAAAGTCGGCGACAAAAGCTTGACTTTCGCTTAACGTTCTTTGTCCTTCACCCTCGCTCCTTTGGCCGACCAATTTACGAGGCGAAGTCTGCAGCAAAAACGAATCATTATAATCCCTGACTTAAAAAACGTTATAAAAAAAGTTATATTTTTTATAAGTAGAATAAAGTATTCAACTCTTTAAAAAGATATAAGAAAATTTTGTCATATACAAGAAACTCACAATTCCTGGAGAGATTCTAGGTGGTACAAGCGGCGGCGCTCCAAGAAAACTTTGACCATTTTTTCCTATCAAAATATGTAAATTCATAACATAAGACTTAGAATTATTTCATAATTGTAATATCGTGAAGTCTGGACAATATATATATATATATATGTGTGTGTGTGTGTGTGTATATATATATATACATATATATATATATATATATATACCTAATTTATTAAGATCGAGACTAGAACTGCGCGCATGTGTTCTGTACGGTCTGGGAGGCGGTGGAGGTGGTGGTTCCTTTTTAGGAGTTACGATGACAGCATCTTCGGGAGCTGCAGATGGTTTCTTTGCGAGAGGTCGTTGCACTAATGACGCTGCAGAGTGTTGCAAATCGTCATCTCCCAAGGTTGCGCAGCTGCTACTGCTACCGTTAGCACCCGAAGCAAGAATCGCTGCTTCAGGTGTTAAGCGCAACGGTACTGGATGCAAAATCTTCGGGTCGCGTTCGACGGCTGATTTTTGGAAATCGAAATTCACTAGCTGCAATCCTGGACTAGTGACTGAGGAGCTGCTCGCTCCAGTTGGCGAGTCCACGAACTTTGTCCATTCCCTATTCTTCTCGCGAGCGTTTGCGGAGTTCGGTGGTGATTTTTGAGCAGTTGTCGCCGATGGGATTTGCGGCGCGGCAGTTGTTGCTGTTTGCATAACTAACAAGATCGACAAGGACGGAGGTAAAACGTCGGGCAGAGGCACATGGTTCCTCCTCAGTACGACGAGATGCATAGCCACATAGAATTCTTGTAAACTGAGCGCCCCGTCCCTCGTGACATCCGCGAGCTGCCAAATACGTCGTAACTCTGAAACAGGAAGCCGTGATTTTTCGAAAAACGTTCTGGCTACAGGCCCGGCTAGAAGACCCTCCGGATCAGGCTGCAGCTGCGCGAATTGCGCAGCGTAATAATCACGTTGCTCGTCGCTGATAATCCATACTTCCTCCGGTGGAAAACCAGAGCCATCACCTTCCCCGTCACCTTCGTCGCTGCTGTGACGCTCCGAGCTCTCCTCTTCAGTACCTAACAGTTGTCTCTGCTCTTCAGAAACTAATAAGCCTTGCCAACCTCCGGAAACAGAATCCAAAATTGTCTCGCCACCCAGCATACCGTCATTTCTTTCTTGAGTCACGCTGTTCGTTGGTGTAGGAGAATCTGTGCTACCACCAGTCTCACGTGGGGATTCTGCTTCGCTTTCACTTTCGGTAGTGCTCTCAGGAGCATGATGTCTACTTTTTGCTCCTCTAGTTATGTCTGGACTCCTTCTACCTTCCTCTTCACCGGAGGTTGGCCACGTAAATCTTGGCAAAGTAATAACATCCAAAGATGCAGTTATCATATCTCTGGAGACTTCCAGACCAGCCTGATGGACTGCAATGAGTTTCAACACTGCATAGAATTGCTTCTTGCCCAGATGCGTGTTACCTTTGGTTCCCATGCAGATGTCCAAGATCTACAAGCAGAAAAAAATATATACTTGATGTTAACAAATATATAGCCATACACAACCGAGTTTCTACGGAATACTTTCTTCTTTCTTTTTTCTTTATCTTCCATTCCAACAAATATCTAATAGCAACGATAGCAGCTTACTTTCCATTACAACTAACGTACATTACAATTACATTACAAGAAACACATAATTTTTAAGATGTTCAAAGAACATAGAGACATATTTAGACATCCTTAAGACATCCCTTGAAGATCTGTATTGTACAGAAAGAATCCTCGCAAAGCTACAGCCAGCTATAATTGATTATGAAAAGCAAAAGTAATGATATTTTCCATCGACGAATTAATTCAGTTCAGCCGCTACGACATAACCTCTACAAGCGGACCCTAATGTTTAGTTTGTCCATCTGCATATATATCACTGATACAAGAAGCTCTCGAATACTGAGATGAAGTCTGTTACGATGTTACGTCGATATCAAGAAAACGTCAATATCGCACTTCCATCATGCCATGGAGCTCACCTTCATCGTGATGTCCCGCGGCAGATTGGCCGAACGTAACAACTCGGCGACTTTAATCACGGGAACGCTGTCGCTGTCCGCGTTCTCACAGCAATAGATGAATATGTCGCCGTAATAACGGTGCTCGGTCGCGGTCAGATGCAGACTCGCCATTGTCAATAACTCCCAATCCATCTTGACAGCTTGGCGCGTTCGCGCGACCGAGAACGGTGCTCGTCCTCGGACCTCGTTTGTCCCGGAGCGGATCGCTTTCCTTCTCTCACAGCGCTCACTCGCGAATCTGCTTCACGTTCTGCTTCTCGGGGATCTGCAGCGGTTGCATTTCTCTCCGCTGAAGAACCCAAGGAACGTTCGCTAGTCGCCTGCAACTCCGTTTAACGTGATTATCGCTATCTCCGGCTGACTGGCTGGCGCGATCGTGATGTTCGTGATGTTTGACATTACCATAATCCGTGTCGACTAACTTGCCCCGTAAGAAGTGTCAACTTCTTCTAAGCAGTGGTGCGTGCGTAGTAACTTCGTATTTATGATAGATATGATAGATATGAATTTTATAGAGTGATAAACAGGGTTGATAAAAAACATGTTTAAATAGTTTAAAACATGCTTAATTAATGTTTTTAATATGTTTTAAATATGTTTTTGTTATAATACTGTTTCAAACATATTTGAAGCATTAAAACATATTTAAGAAGAAACACATTATCTTAAAAAAAAAACATTAGCTTTACCAACTCTGATGATAAAAGAAAGTTTGACCGCAAAGTTCTGTGTTTAATAAAACATTAGTAATTAATATTAAAAAAAAAACAAACTCTAGATTGTTGTAATAAAATCTTATTAAATAATACTAAAAATAATAATTAACATCAAAATAGCCACCTTTAGCTTTGATGCAAGCTTCAAGGAAAGATGCGCGATCATTGTGATATATTTTTCGAAAATATATCACAATGATCGCGCATCTTTCCGTGAATAAATTTTCCCAGGTAATCAATAAAGCGATCTTCACTAATCGAAAATCTTTTGATATTTGGCTACTTTCCTTTTAGAAAACTTGTTTTGTATATCTTTATTATTCATTGAATAATAAAGCCAAGAAGAATGGGAAGTGATGAAAACAGTCTTAATAAAATGTAATTAATTCCAGAGTTTGTTTTTTTAAATATACATTAACTACTACAGAGTTCTATATAAATCACTATATAATAAATTGATAAATACAAAACTTTGTAACCAAATTTTCTTAATTGTCGGCCTGGACATATTGTTAATAAAAAAAATGACACAAATAAAAAATTGATATTTTTGAAATAATAAAAGAAAATGGACTAAAATCTTTAAGCTTCAGCTTCATTACTTAAATCTCGAATCTCGAAAACGAACTGCTGAGCTTCGTGAAGTAAAATCTGTATAATACTTTCCATATTTTGCTTAATATTTATATGATACTTTCATTAATTTTACTTACACACTAGATTGCAAATAAAAGACTTAGAAAAAAATTTAGACAATAATATTAATTCAGATTGGTCAGCGAAATATATTTTACGATTCATATCACTCTGATCTAACGATATAACTAATTTAACTTCGATGCTGAACGTGAGCATCGAAGTTAAAAGATCGAATTGTTTTATAAGTAATAGCCGTAACAATGAACGTGGAAATTATATTATATCGCTGATACTTTGCTATCGCACACTACTTTCTTTTTCATATAAAAATAAATTCGATACTGTCCGATGATTGCTCGCATTTAATACAGTTTTTCTTCCTTTACTAAGATATCGCTATGAAATTAAGATTGTTATCAGCAGACAGAACACACGCGTATTTTCCATAATTAATAAAATCATTCGGAGAGAGAAAAATTAAACGAGTAGTTTATAGTCATCGGACAGCGATTCCGATTTTTGAGAATGGAAAAAAGAAAACACCTACGACATCATTAATCATACAAAATGGCTCGTGACTAGAAAAAGTTCTTACGCACAATGTTCTGTAAAAAACGTTACTTTTGCTACTAAAATAATTTAATTTTGAGTTTTTTCATTTCGACGAAAAGCAACAGTCAATAGAGCGAAGAATCCTCCGCAATGATCGATATACTTTTCTTCGTGCTATCGTAGCGTCCGGCAATCAATTTCTGTCCAGACGTCTTAAATCGCAGCTGCATAGATGAATCTTCTCCCGGACTGCCGGTAATATTGTCAAAGTCCAAATTGCCGAAATGTTCTTCGAGTAAGTCCTCCAATTTCTTTGAAAGCACCTCAATCTTCTTTATTTGTTCATCATCGTGCTGCAAAAAAACATTTGTTTTCTGATACTCTAATTGAAATCTATGCAAATTAAACAAAATCGAGAAAAATTCACCTTTCGAAATTAAATTTCTTTTTAAAAATTCAAATATTACATTCAATCTTGTGAAAATTAAATGATGCAATTTCAAAGGTATCGATTTATTGCATCATATGATTTTTATATGATAATTAAGAAAATAAAAAAATTGGATACAAAAAATTGTCTATTTTTTACCTGATGATCTAATTTCGCGTTGTTAATAATGCGACGAAAATCTTGTACAGCGTGTTCGACTTTATGATAAATCCGATTTTTCAGTTTGTACTCGATAAGCTCAAGAAACATTGGACTCTTAACAATCTTGCAGTAATCTTCCATCTGAAAATAAAAAAAAATTATTTCATCAAATATATATATTGCTTTTTTTTCTCTGAAACTAACTATTAGTGCGGAAGAAGACTGGTCCTTATTATCGTATGAGAGTGTATATTTGATGATCTTCGCCTCGTCCATCTGCCAGATAGTTCGATGAATTGTCTCTAACTTATTGAATATCAGAGGACTGAGACTCTGTTTTCTCCTGGAACTACACCACACAGTCCAGCCACGATCGCTCGATTTGCTGGCGCACTTGCCTTCCAAATGTTCCATATCCTTTTTCTTTCCATGATTTGTTTTCATGGTAGTTGACATATTATTTACCCTGACAGTGCCGACTTTCATGCACGATCCCTCCTCCAATTGCAAATCGTTGCTGTCCGCATTTTTCATCGTTTTCTTGTCGGTTGATTTTCGTGATTTGTGTAGAAGTTGATAGGATTGTACGGGGTCGTTCCTCTGACACTTGCGGCCAGGAATTGGTATTACGGTAGTTACCGATGAATTGGTCGCGCACGACTTCAGCGGTTCTTTCTTTTCAAGGTGTAGATTGTTTGTTTTCATGGATCTTCGTACCGTTTCAGAATACGTGGCTCTTCCGACATGACTTTCCAATTCTTTTGTCGATGTTTCGTCATTCTTCGCGAAAGAACTAGAGACACGTTCACGAGAGAAGATCGCTGGATATTCGCTATTGATGATTGTCACATGAGTCTTTATATCTGCATCCGTGGTTAACGACGATGCAAGTTGGTCCGGTTTTATGTCAATTTCCGAGCTATTCGAAGACTCTAAACTTCGTCGATCTACGTCCCTATGTCGCTTCTGCTTACCGACGATACTCACGTTATTGAGAGTCCTGATCAGCCAGGAATCCGTTTTCACATTGGTCTTGATACCGAGAGCTGTTGAACATGCTTTTTAGAAAAGGATTGTTTTGCTTATTACTAGGTACCACCTGCAAAAAGATCGCGAGACATTTTTAAGTAGTTTCGATAATCCGAGTAACGAAATACACGTGAAATCCTCGCGAGAAAGTTTATTATTTCAATATAATTTTACTCTTTACTCTAATAAAGTAGTGTTAATTAGTTCTTTCTCTGGCGAAAACTTTTCTCAGAATTTTAATATTGGAATTGGAACTTTTTTTTTAGAGAAGTCTACATTTTTTTTCTTGATATTTTTCATATATGTGAATTCTGAAATATTCAAGGGTTTCTTAGATCTTTCTAATTTTTTAAAAAGTAAACTTAATTTTTTTCAGATTTTATAAGATTTTATCAGAAATTACAGAAATAAAAAAATCTTAGAATATTTCACTGAAGCATGAAGAATTCTAGATAAGATGTATAGACTTTGTCAGTTCTTCTGAAAAGTTTCAATTTTTTGTAAAAAAAAATGTTTGTAAAAAACTGAAAAATTTTCTGAAAAGTTATAAAGTAGTTATAAAGTTATAAAATTTAGAAATTTAAATAATTTAAAAAAGTTTATGAAAAATTCTGAGAAAAATTTTCACTAGAATTATCTAAAAAATTTATTTTATAAAGTTCTTTACCATTCTCATCCTCGCGCGATTGAGACATTGAAACTACACTCATGCTAGGCGATAGTCTGTACGTAGATTCCGAATCATCCTCTGAGGCTTCATAAGAAGACGCACAGTCAGTGTTATCATGCTTCAATGATTTCGGATCACTCTGCTGCGACACGATTGTTAATGCTTCAGCAGGATCTTCGTTTTTATCTTCTTTCTCGCTGTTACTATCGTTGCAATTGACGTTTTTAGACGTATTACCACAGTCCTTTATGTTAAGGGCTTCAAGAAGTATCTCAGCTGAGGCGCACGCTGCTTTCCAGGTGACGTCCTGACGAGTGTCCTGCGACAAAGATTCTGTACGTTTCAAGATTCTAGGTGAACCCTCAAGATTGAATAGAGGCACGGGTAATTGCGAAGCTGGCGGGAACGAAGTCTTTATAAGCGTGGTATTGCCGATGTTGGTGGACAAGGTTGTCGCGTTCGTGTGAGATAGAGGCGTCGATGATGCTGGTATCGATACGCTTTTTCCATTATTACCGCACATATTGTGATGATTGCTCGCGTGTACATTGCGAGATGTGCTATTGCTTGATCGACGATTGGGTCTTCTTTGATGTCTCTTCTTAGGAACATTATAGCTACCCGGTTTCATGTACACTCGCACGTCTTCAGAGCTATCATACTCTTCAGGCGCTTGTTGCGCATGGAAACGATTGCCGATGAAGTTGCCAGCGGCCCAAGGTGTGCTCTGGATGTTCGGCAGATTTTGCAACGCCTGGAACTGCCGATTTGCATCAAACTGCGGTTGCTTGGCTATAATCATCGAATACTTGGGCATCTCCTGAATGAATAATCGCGGTGCCGAGTTCTCGTTCGTCCTTGGCTCCTCAAAGGTTGACGTGGCCGCTGAAGGCTGTGCGTTTCGCATGCTGGCGAACCAAGCCGACAAGTTGGCTGCCATTTCCTCGGATTCTTTATCGAATGTTCGTGGCTCGATCTGACTGAGCAGAATCACTTTATTTCTAGGTACAGCCGGGAGTTCTAATTGCTCAGTTTGTGATTTGACATAAACCGGATTGATATTTGCGTTTTTAACTCCGTAAACCTGTTCGGTGTTATTGCTGCTTCTCGAATTGATATTAGGATCGGTATTAGGATAAGGCCCGAAAGTGGGATAACTGACTCTATATGTTGGAACACCTGAATTGGAAGTCGAATATGAAGAGTCTGAATGGCTGGATAAAGGAAACGTGAAGGACAAACAATTCCGCGCATACAGTCCGCTATAGCTCATAGGAGCGTTCGTTGCTGAATGTTGAGATCGGATGGATTCGGTGTTATCGATTAATGTCGTAAGTTTATCTTCCGGCGTGTAATCGTGTCTTCTATCTTTCATTGCATCCGCGCTGCTTTCCATTACTTTGTTTCTCAACTGGCAAAATTCGGCGTTCAGCGATTTCTGAGTGAAATCAAATTTCTTAGATAATGCGTCTTTCGTGCGAAGTTTATGACTTCCCAGACTGCTGATGTCAGAGTGACACACGGAGACGTTCGGCATGGACTTTGTGGTGTTAATCATGGATGATAAATTCTCAGTAATCGTCCATTTGCTCCGCAATTTGCTTTCTTTAGGATTCATCGATTGTTGTTCCTGCTGACAGTTGGAATTGTATCGAAAATTACGCAGACTGCTCGTTGGTAACGATGTCGATGTCGCGCTGCATGGTTTTTCCAGCGAAGATTTTCCAAGATTTTGTTGAGAAAGACAGCTCGAAAACAGTGGGACGAAAAGATTGTAAGTTGTATAAAGCGACACGTCGCCTGGAAATGACGATGTCATGTTGCGTTTCTGATCCATCATCTCTTTATTTTCTCCAAACTTCTGAAAAGTCCGCACTATTTGCTTCAGTAATTCGCATGTGCTCTCTTCCCATGTTTGAAAGCGCGCGATCAACTCAGGATCTAATCTGTCCAGCAAATTAGGAAAATGCTGTTTATTCAGATAATTATCAAGGCTCAGCCATCCATTGCTAATGCGTAGAAGAGCGTTTATGAGATCGTCGGCAAAAACTCGATCCCCCGCAAAGACCGGAATGCAAGTCGAGGATTTTGTGATCGCCGTCCTAGTAGCAGATGACAGACAAGTTAACCAGCTCCGTTTAGAATCCGTTTGCAAATCTTCAGAATCGAGAACACTTTCAGCTTGAGTGCATCCCCAATAAGCTGTTTTTCGAATCAACTCTGGATATTGCGATCTATCGACACTCAAATCATCCGTTTGAACGCCTATCGACGTTCTGTTTTCGAATTCAGAGCAGAAATCTATAAAACAGTTCGTCTTGTTAGACATATTGTCGCCTGCACCGTTGAACAACATAGAATCAATCTTGTTGCCAGGCTTCGATTCCTCCTTTCCTAAATCGTTCGAAGACGTGGTGTTACACAAAGCAGAGACCATTTTCTCGGCTTCGATGGTGAAGTCAAAGCTATTCGAAGACTCATCAGAGTAATGTTCCTCGTCCGTCTTCGCGACGACAGAGAAAGATTTCTGCAAAGCACACTCGGCAGACTCGAGGCTTCTGTTATTTTCTGTGACAGTTTGCGTGTCGTTTTTCGAAAACGTTTCAGTCTGAGAAGGCCAGCCATTCTCACTCTGACCGGTTGGAATGACTTGAGACTCGCAGGCATTCGATGTCTTGTCTGCATTATGCTTGAACGGTGTGAAATCTAATGTGGACGAAGGTTTGTCTCCTCGTGGTGGTGCAAGCATTAAACCAACAGGCGGATTCGAAAAGAGTGGAGAGGACTGCACTGTTACTGGAAATTGATTGTTGTTGAAGCTGGTATAAGAATTGGCAAGCGGAAAAGACGAGTTGGCGGTTTGCAGACTGCAAGTATTTGTAGCCGAGATATTATAGTAGGAATTCTGCATTGGATGCTGTTGTTGTTGTTGCTGCTGCTGCTGCTGCTGCTGCTGTTGCTGCTGCTGCTGTTGCTGAATGTTCTGTCGATCTTGGATGAGACAGAGAGTCTGCATATCGGGCGGTTTAAAATTGAAGGGCTGCGGTAATAGATGCGTCACTCCAGAATTGTTACTGTAATGCTCATTGTGCAACGGTCCAGCATGGGTGAATGTAGATGATGCTACTAAAAAGGATGTGGTCGATGGAGGAATCGATGCAACACTGGTAGGTGGTTGATCGAAAAGTACTACAGGTTTTGGATTGTACGAGAGTTGCTGTTGCTGTTGCTGTTGCTGTTGCTGTTGCTGCTGCTGCTGCTGCTGCTGCTGCTGTTGACAATATTGTTGACCGCGGGACGGCTTGTTCTTGGCGTGCCATCGGTTATTTTTACCTGTATTCGCGCAAAATATTTTAATTATCATTTTCGGTTTACATAACATCGTTAAATTTGCGATTTTTTTATTACTATATACTTTCAATGCCGTTTTATTACTGAAAGACTGTTTTATGAAATATAATCAAGAAGAAGAATGGAGAAAGAAAGAAGGAACTGATTTATATACAAGATTAGAGTATTAACTATAGTCTATCTTTCAGACCTTGAAGTTGTAAATGGGCGGAATTCGGTGAAATAACGTGAGACTGAACGTTCGGATAAACGCACGAAGGATGAAGTGCTGTTCCACACGATTGAAGAGTCACCATTGGGCTACTGACAGGAGCATACAGAATTTGCTGTTGCTGCTGCTGTTGATGATGATAAAGGGACGACGTTGTCGATGGGCTTGGGATCGAGGATGACTTGAGATGATGTACGGACGATCGATTTGAACGCGCGGCCGTCGGGCGCATGATCTGTTTGGTCCTTAAATCAAAATTGAATCCTCCACCGTCTCCGAGTCGATGTTAGCAACTTCTATTAAACGATAGAATCTTTCATATTATCGATATCGCAATGCAATTATCTGAGATATTTATCACGAATTATTCAAACTTAGAAGCAATTGGTTACGTTCTTCGTATTCACATGTCAAATTATATACTTCATCATATTAACTTCGCGTTGATATTGTATTATATTTAACTTTGTGAAAAAATAATTATTTACTTGAATAAGACCATAACGCTGTTGTGATAATATATATTGCCACCAAAATGCATCACATTAAATGTAATAAAGTTAAGATAATGATAATTAAAAAATCCTTATATATATTTTTTTGAACTCATAGTGATAGTCGTTTATCTAATCGAGATGAATATAGCCGCTGTATCAGCTGTTGATTGAAACTCATTTAACTTCTTATTAAAAAGAATTTTATTAATTTATAAAAATATCATTATTTTTATTCTATAATGTTTTAAATAAAGAAAAAAAGAAAGTTAACATATAAAATAATATTGACT